CTCTTTCCTGCCTATGCAGGGGGTCGGACTCGATGATCTATTGAGGTCCCTTCTGACCCTAGCATCTATGAATCTATGAACCGCCGTGTCCCTAAACATTTCATTTCAGGTAAACCAAAAAAAAAATAAAAAAATCTCATTTTACCCCAACATGAAACATCATTTGTAACCCTTTTAAACTTTTTGTTCTTTTTATTAACTCAAGCTAAATTTTTAAACCAAAAAGCATCGTTTGAAAATAGTTAAAGTTTAATTAAAAAAAACAAAACAAAAACCAAAATAGGAAAAATTGACTTTTTTGGACGTTTAAATAATTTTCCTCCTGGTTTTTTTAATTGAAATTATTCACTAAAATCAGGCCAGTTTTGCAACTAGCCGCAGTCCCTCCAAATGCTGCATTTTAAATAGATCTATTATTTGTCAAAATAAAACACCCAGCTGCATAGATTTGCCCCAGCGGGCTTTTGATCCGATTGCTGGTCCGGATAGCATTTAATGCAAGAAACAAATGGGTCAGAAGCTGATTCCTGTCCAGAACCAGAACCGTGGCAGATGTGCGGGTACCACAGCTGCGCCCGTGTATGCGAGAGAAGCATCTACCCCAACATGCCGCAAGGAGGTCATTGCTGTGACCAAGATGCTAATTTCTCCTTCCAAAAATAGAGGCACATCAGCTCCGTGCTGAGCAAATGTAGCGGTTATTTCTTAAGGCACAATTATCAGAGCTGCCACATGTGAGGAGACACGGGCTTTGCTTTCACCCTCCTGGTTGCTGCTGCTCTTGAATACAGCTGCTGATCATTTTTTTTTTCCTGGTTGCAGCTGTGCTTTTCACAAGCCTGGGCTGAAGGCTCTGTAAAATCAGTATTTTGTTCCATGACATTAATTTTATGATATCCCTGGAGTGGTTCCAAAGCAAAGTTTTATGTGATATGATTACACAAGGTGAATTGTCCTGTATCTGTTTAATGAAACAGATACTGTGTTTAATGATTCTTTGGGGAATTAAGTACAGTTAAGCTATTAATCAGGCATTGGTTCCTCAAGGAGGAGTAAAAGAAAGAGCAGGTACCCAAAGCTTTTTTATGCATCATAAGATACATATATATTGCACCTCCAGCAGAATCATAGCTTATTATTGATGTTTCATTATCCTTTTCATCACCTGATTTTTATGCGAGGATCAATTAGGTAGAAACCTTGGGGATGATTGAGAGAATCTGAGAAGCCTAGGGGATCTGCTGTCTAGCTGATCCCACCAATGAGATTACTAAATTGCCAGCCGGAGAGCTTTGCGGCAGGTATCAACAAACCCATTATTGTTCCTTTTGGGATGAAGACTGAGATATTTGCTGAACTCCTGGTTTGGAGCAGCAGAGAAACCACCTTTGGTCCCAGTGCTTTTGTTCACATGCACGTGCATCCAGATAGACATACACATTTCATGGCTCAATGGTTCAGATAGCCTGGTTCAAACACCTTTGCTCACACGCACGTGCATCCAGATACACACGCACACATTTCATGGTTCAAATGGTTCAATGGTTCAAATGCCTTTGCTCACATGCACGTGCATGCAGATAGACACACAAATTCCCTGCCCCACTTCTATTTTCAGTTGTGCAAACCCTTGATACCAAGCAGTGACCTTCAAGACTCAGCAGAGCGATGGGATGGCCTGTTTGCATTCAGCTCAATTCAGCACAAGACAGGTGGCAATCATAACCCTGTGGGTGAAACCAAGAATCTGTTTAGTTTGCAGGAATTCAGAGATGGTGCTGATTTTAAATGCACTGGGAGGGGGGAAAACTTACAGAGGCTGCGGCAGAAAGTGAAAGTGGAGAGAGGAGAAGTGCTACATTAAGTCCGTAGTTGATATTTCCAGCTCACTTGACGTGGTTGTCATGGAAATCGTATCAGTTCTGTCTACAGTCAAACCAATTGACTACAGAGGCACAGTTGGGGAAGCCGCGAGCTAGAAAGGTACTGGATATGAAAGAAGTTCCAGGATTAAATCCAGCTTTAGGAGAATTTGAGGCAGATTGATCTGGAAAGGTCAGCGAGGTGATATAACAAATATCACCTGCACTGCGTTTAGCATGAGTTTTGCAGGCTGTCAGAAAAGACTTCGACTCAGCAGATGCGTTGTAGAAAGGGCCCGAATTCTGAAAACAGGAAGACTCCTGAAGGGTGAGACAAGTGAAGTCAGTTCAGTCCTGTCAGATGACAATTAAGTTTGGAAACGAGACAAAGTACCTACCCTGTGGTTCAGAGCTGTCAGAGCCGCGTCCAAGAGAGTGCCACAGCCCCCAGCGGAAATGCTGCTGCACTTGTCAGAGTAAAACTTCACTGGCATCGTCCTATGCCCATTCCCTGCCTTTTACTAAAAGATCTCATTGCAGTTTATAGCAGCGTTGGGTCCAAGGGATTTTCCTATAGATAAAGGCTCACTGGGGTCATCTGACCTCAGCAGTCTTTCCTGCCTTGAGAAGGGGGGCTGGACCTGCTGATCTCTGAGGTCCCTTCCAGCCCCTAACTTCTATGAATCTAATGAAAGCTAGCCAGGTCCTACTAAAATGAATGAGAAATGGCTGCCAATGTCCTCAGCTATAGTACACGTCAGCTATTTTGTTCAGCGTAGGAGCCGTTCTGAATTATAACGTTGCAAAGCCAAGGTGGAACACAAGTGCCGCCATCAAATAGAGCCGGCATGAGATAGACAGCTGACTCCTCCACGCTTACATGCAGGGTTCAGGTAGGCAAACCATGCTGTGGGTTTTCCTCATGGTCTTGCTTTATGGCTTGAAGGGAAGTAGCAACGAGGAGCAGCTAAATTTTCTGACAGCTGGTCGTTGCCAGCAGTGGATAACATTGAACATTAAAGCGCTGAGCCTGAGCATCCCTTCTTCTGCATGGGTCAGGGTGGAAAGATGCTCTCTTTCAATAGCTAAGCTTCAGTGCACTCCATGACCCACAGCAGATGCATCTAAAAATGATCGCTCAGCCTCCCATATAATTGTGTCCCCGTCTCCCTCCAACTTCCTAATTTCCTGGCTGTGTCCCCCAGTGCCTCCCCTCTTCTCCTTCAAATCACTCACGGCCTTGATCTGTGGCGAGGCCCTTCCATCATCCTCCCGTTACGTTGCCCCATTCCTGGTTGCCCCGTCATGACACTTTGAACAAAATCCATCTTCACTTGAGTGACTGATATAAAACTGAGCAGAATTTAGCCTCCTGTTTTCTGTTTCCAGAGGGTAAATGTTTACTAACTGGCAGACTGGTCATGGAGCCATCTGCATTGTGTCTAGTGGTGTGACCAGTTCTTTTAATGGATTCCCCTTCTTCTTTCAGAATGGCCCGAGTTTGTCAAGAACTACGCTCCCTGGTGGGCCACACACACCCTGGACTGGCTGAAGTACGGCAAAAATGTCCTGGTGGTGCACTTTGAGGACCTGAAGCGGGATCTCTTCGTCCAGCTGAAGAGGATGGTCAGCCTCTTGGGCATCATGGTCTTTGAAGACCGGCTCTTGTGCGTCGAGAGTCAGAAGGACGGGAACTTTAAGCGCTCTGGGCTGAGGAAGTTGGAGTACGACCCCTACACCCCCGAGATGAGGAAAATGATCAGCAAGTACATTAAAACTGTGGACACGGCTCTGAAAGTCAGAAACCTCTCAGGAGTCCCAGATGATTATTATCCAAGATGATGACAATGACAGTTGGGGGGGAAAGGACTCTTACCCGAACCAGAAAGGCTTGGTTTTCCCAGCCAGTACCTACTTCCACCCAGTGGGTGGCTTTCTTTTGATTATCCATCTGCTGCTATTAGCTGTTAATCAACTCCATGCATGAGACCAGAGCGGTCACGAGTCATTGCTGAGAAGACGCCTCGGCAAACACATCGACGTGACTAAGCTCTTTGGGACCTGCGGCATTGCGAGCCCGCGCTTGTGACATGAAAACCTTCACCATTGCCGTCTCTGACGTCTTCTCTTTCTTGCCGAGTGGGGTGCGCTTTCTTTTTTCTGTTTTACGCCAGACTCTACCAAGGATGGAATAAGGCCTAGAAATGGCAGACGGGAGGAACAGCCCGTGATTCTTTGTGGGAGGGTGGGGAAGGAAGGGTGACATGGGGCTGAATGGGGATGTGGTGTTTCAAACTCAGATCTGATGTCATTTCAGCTGGTGCATCCCTTCCCAATAATATAACTATTTATTTATAACCTTCTTAGGGTCCTGGGTGGTGGTGGTGGGGCCATATTTGTAGCTGACATTAAGAGCAAAGCTTATTCTGTGTTTGCTGGGCCTCATGCAGCTCTCAGGGCTCACTTCAGCAGGGCACCTTGGCATAGACTTTGCTGCCCCAACATGAACTTAGGTTTTTCACAGGCCAAGTGACCTGACCACGGAGTTATAGCAGAGGGAGGCCTCTGAGTCTACCACAGGAAATGTCCCCCATTTGACAAAATAATTAAATATTCCTTAGGCTAAAGAGAGAGAGCAAGGGGCCGAGGCTGCCTCTACAGCCTAGCAGTCAAGGCCTGAAGGTGGGGTGCAGGGCTCCCAGTTCAAGTCCTTGTTCCTCCTCCTGCCCGCAGCCGCGTGCTCCCCTGCAATGTCCTCCTTCAATGTTGCCTCCATCAGGAGAGCAAGGCCAGCCAGGGGCAGGATCCTGCCCTGGGTGCAAACAGTCCTGTCATGAGTCCCGGATAGCACCGTTACTGTTAGACAGATACTTGCTGCTTCATAAGCACAAGGTCATCGCACAACGGGTCCACTTTCCCTCCCCACTGCATCTGGCTGCCTTGTCCGGCATGCCCAGGTCTCATGATAGGGATGACCCTGCATCAGGCAGGGGGTTGGATATCCCCGTGGAAGTCCCCTCTGCCCCTACTTCTATATGAAGTGCAGGGGCCACATAAACACCAGGTTGTCAGGCACATTAGCCCATTTGACAGGCTTTTTTTCCCCTGTCAATTGGAATGGAAATGAATAAAAGGGGCAAATGAACCAAAGGGAGGGTGACCTTCTCAGCTGCTGGTCTCCTAAGCTTGCGAGCCACAAACACCAGGGGAAGACCATCATCACTGCACCCACCTGTGGAGGAGTTCAACTCATTGCTCCTAAGGCCAGCTCCTAAGACCCCTGGGCAGGTTGTCTCTCAGCCTGGAGCTAGCTGGACGTTAGGGTTTGCAAAGTCTAGAAGTGGATCTGGATTCAAAGTTCTGTGGAGAGGGAAAGCGCAGATCCGCTTGTCTGGTGCAGGCAGATCTGGGCTCGACCTGCTGCAGTTCTCAGGCTGGATCAAGCACCCCATTGGAGTAACAGCAGAAAGGATGGAGCCCTTAGCTGATTAGAATGGGAAATCTCCCAGTTGAAGAGTACGCTATACCATCATGGCCCTTAATGAGCCCTTGGTCTACAGGGAGGCACCAAGAAGGTTTTGAGAGAAGACAGGTTAGTGTAGCACGTCCCCCAATCCCGACAGAGCCTGATTTGCCAGGGAGACTTGTGAAGTCAACCTCGGAAATCCTTTGACGGGAGGGGGGTCTGTTTTTCCACGAGGACATTTCTCTGTCAGCTGCCACCAAGGCCCATATTCAGGGGACACAGAGGGCTTGAGGAGTTTTGAGGCCGAGCATGCTTAGATGGCTACAACCAGGAGCCAGTGGCTGGAGCTGGACACCACTCAGAAGCATTTCCCAAGTCCTGCCTACATGGCGCTGTTCGCTCAGATGCGTGCATGTGTACATCCGAAGGGAGCACCACCCCCATTACTGACCCCCCCCACCACCCCAGAATTTGGGTTGCCAAAAGGCAGCAACAAAAACCAAAGGACCTCTGTGCATTTAGGTCAGGCACCGTTTTGCAAAGACGCCTTTCTGAAGAGCTGCATGCGGCTCCACAGCAAAGTCCAAACCCCGAGCTGAGCTTACAATTCATTTCCAAATGCTTTGCTGCCCTCAACGTTCCCCACCCTTCCTACATAGTTTGATAGTCCCCTTTGGATGTAGATGCAAAAGCCATAATACTGTACACAGCCTTTTTCTATAGTTAGTTATTAGTTATTTGACAATTGGCTTTTAACTCTTGATAGAAACCTGTGCACAGAGATACACACACACACATGTATGTATGTATGTATGTGTGAGTGTACACACACACACACACACACACACACACACACACACATCTCTCTCTCTAAATATATATATATATCTTCACGGAAAGCAAAGAAAACTACATTGAGAAGAGGAAAATTTAAAGAAATATATTTTTTTAAACATGTGAAAGGAAGTGACATAGCCAAATGGGGAAAAATAATCACAGCAACAGCAGGACCATGCAGTACATTTTCCTTTACTTTTAAATTTCTGCTTTCTTTGGGGGTTTAGGCTTCCTAGGTGCTAAGAGAAGCCTTAGGATGCAGGCCAGGTCATCTCTGAATGTATTTTGTAAAGAGTAGTGATATGTTTTTAATTCTTTCTTTAGCAAATCATATGAGGGTTTTTGTTTTCCCTAGGAGACCAGATGAACTCTGTCCCGCTAGAGGAAGTGATCTGATTTCCCTTTCTTTAATTTGTGGCAGTTCCCAGGCTGCTTACCTCTGTCAAAACAATCCTCAGGTTAATGCCATCTATTAAATGAGAGTTTTGTTGATATTCTGCCATGTGCTTGCATGTGTTATGGGGTGCGGCACACACTCACGCTGGCAAAGGACATCTCCGAACCAGGTACTGTGCGGTGCTCACATTATATTACCTATGCAATGCCCAAAAAAGCACTCTGCAAAGCACAAGGCTGGCTGCGGTCTCTGAAGCGAAGAGCCAGCCCTCTAATCGCAGGTGCCATGAAAGCAAGCAGGAAGGGATGCAGGACAGTGGAAAGGAAGAAGCAAGAAGGGCTGGAGGAAGGAGCCAGGGATAAGCTGTGCAGACTAGGGATGGCATGGTGGCTTGGTTACCTTCTGGCTTCTTCCAGCTGATGCCGGAGAACTGGCACTAGAGAGATTGCACTGACACCATTAATGATAGAAAAGGCTTTGTAGCAACTGGGAAAGGAGACACCTGTGAGATCATCCAGCATATGCAATGAACACTGTCCTTCTCTGCCCCTCAGCCCCCAGCCACTGTCCATTCCCGGGGAACATGAGCACTCGACACATCCAAATAACAACCACTGGTTCTTTATGACTGACAACCAGGCAACAGCAGCCTTGGAGAGTCCCAATGTGCTTGGAGCTGCACCCGAGACTTGCGATGAACATCTCCGCTTTCCAGTCAATCAGCTGTGCCAGGATATTCACAAGGATCGGCTTCTCGGAGAGATCCTCAACCCTCTCCGTTCTCCATGAGGCTGGGAGCATCCCAAGACCAGTCTCTTCCCTGCACTGCTTTGGCCCCTTACGCTCCTGAGTGCAGGTTGGCAACAAAACCCTAATTCGGGCAACTGTTGCAGGGCATCAGCCAAGGTTCAACACATGAGCAAAATGAGCATCTAATCCTTACAGAGGGTGTCATTAATGGATAGAGCTGATTAAGAGAAACCACTCTTTGTTTTCCTGCCAGAACAAGCTGGCTTTTCCACTGGGCGTAACGACGTGTCCGGTTTGTGCTCACTGTGCGTGCCGAGAACAAGGAAGCCTAAAGGGCACAGGCTTTGAAGTCAGTTCAGGACCTCCAGGGAAGGGCTGTATAACATGAGGTTGGTCACAAAGGGCCGGTCTGTCCAACGTACACACACCAGCCATTCAAAGGCCTCAGCCCCCCACCGCCAGGGGACTATACAGAGCCCCAGGCCCCCCGATACGGAGCTGCCCTGTAATCAGATCCTTTCCGCAGCTGCTCTTGGAAACACAGCAAACCCCCCAGATCCAAACACACAGGGCTCGACAGACAAACCCCAGAGCAAGGCTCCCAGCGGCGCTGCCCGCACAAGCCAGCAGTTCCCCATCAGAATCAGACTCCACGGTGCCTTGAGCGGAGCTAAGCCAATTACCCGGCCAATCATCTAATTACAGAGCAGCCAGAAAGTAAATACAGGTTAATGCTTCAAAAAGGCCCTGCTGTGACTCGCAGGTCAGGGCCGGGCCCCGTTTGGTCACCAGGGCCGGGCCCGTGTCTGCGCGCATCAGTGACGTGTACGTGTACCGCTCACCCGTGCCAAGGGTACGAGGAGCACGGAGCGGCAGCCACCCTCCTCATTGCACGGATGGGGGTTTGCCACAGCACGGTCCAAAGGACACAGGGTCTTTGTGCCCAGCAGCAGCTCTCAAAGGGCTGCTCTGTTGGGAGGCAAAGCCCTTGCCAACCTGCATGTGCCGTGGGATGGAGCTTGCCAAGTGGAGTTCAGGTCTGGGAGGGGAGAGGGCTGGGACAGGGGGGGTCTTCCAGTCTCCCCATTTCTCAGTGATGTTTGAGTGGTAAACCCTGTCCCTACGACTCTTGATGCCTCTCTCCTGAGCTCCTCAAACCCATCTTTCTTACCCCTGGGGTCCTATGGCTATGGGATGAGACTCTGGAGAGCTGTGTCTGTTCACAGCAATCCTTCAGAGCTGGCATGCCACCCCCTGCTTTTTCTTAGGAGCTGGCAAGGAGTCTTTTTTGGGGCCAACCTCTTCCCAGGACAAATTCTTTCCATAAAAAGTACGTGATTAATAGGATTACCAGCTAAACACTGCAGATAATAGCAATGCTTCACGAACCCGAAGTAGCTGCTTCACGATATTTTTATTACCTTGGGTGTATCCTTCACAAAAGGTTTATTCCATTGCACTCCTGTAAGCTTAAAGGCAATTGATTTGCAAGCAACAGTATATTTCCCTTCACTATTATAACTTTTTTCTGCCATGGAAAGGTATAGGCTTGGTGGAATTCATTCTCTTTCTTTTTGCCTATCACCTTATCCCTCCTAGGTCTTTTTAATCATTATTTTTAGCCATGCAATTGTCCCAAAAACTATAAATGGTGTGTGGCTTATTCTGAAAAGTATCATCTGGAAAGGGATAACATTTCACTAAGCCCCCTTGGAAATAATTAAAATGGAGAAAGGCCATTAATCTCAGAGATAAAGGAATTACGAGTCAATAATGCACACATCAAGTGTGCTCCTCACTAAATTTTCAATCTAAACTTTATAATCCCCCCATGATTAGAAATAGTCTGGGACTGATGGTTCTGGGCCTGCTGCAGGGGTACAAAGGCAGCACATGCTGTTGCTCTCTCTGCGGTATTTCCAGTGCTTCTGTAACCGTTTTGTGTCTGACGTTGCAGCACTATGCTGCTTTCTTCAGCGAGGTTGTCTTGCTGCGTCTCCATGAAGAAAGCCGCTGACCATCCTCCACCTTGCGTCATTGAGGGGACGTGTGTTTGGAGCACCTTGCACTGCTTCGAGACCGATGCCATCCGGGCACAACCTGGTCTCTCGGTGAAGAAGTCTCCAGGCCAGAACCCGGTAACGTGCTCTAACCACAAGGCAAAGCTTCCTCTGCTATTTTAAGACTAATCAAATGTGTAGTGATTATTACAGTTCTACTCCAAAGTCAGGTCCTTATACTTGAGGTCCTTTTACACATGCAGTATTCCCAGAGGAGTGAAGAAAAACCTCCCGTACGTCCCAGATTGGACGATCTTGATCTTTGAACCACCCTAGCTTTTCTGAGCAAGTTGCCTGCAAACATGTATCCCACTTGCAGTGCTTCGAAAGTATTCCTGCATCCTACTGCTGTCAACTGTCCTCAAGATGAGTATCGTGCAAGTTATGCATCCCCAAAGAAAGTTCAGTTTATTTCCTTTTGATGGAGCACAATAGATCACTACAAAGAAGTCTGGCACATCAAGTGCTGTTTGCCACTGGTGCGACTCATCTGTTCGGAAGCAGACAAGCATTTATATTGTGCAAAATGCGGAGTCAAGCAAGCCACTACAAAATAACAGGAGTTTGTCTTGATATCTCATGGTCTCAAAACACAACTCTGACATTTGAGGACTTCATTTAGGACATGTGGGACTAGCTACTATTGGTAGGGGTTTTCTGGTGTGTTTTGCTTCTAATTTACATTGCATGGCATTGGGTTAGTTATCCTGTGAAAATACATATACATAAGGGTTGAAGCCTGGGCACAAGCTATTGGAAGGGAGTTTGACTTCTACATGATTGGAGCTGAAGACTTTCCCCCCCGTCCTGTGGCCTAGAACAGGTGCTGGCAACTTGCAACCCATGGGCTGGATCCAGCTTGCAAAGCCTTTCAGCTGCAGGGCAATTGGGCAACATTTCCATGGTAGGCCCATGGCATCCATGCTGGCCATTGGGAGAAGCGACAGTGGCAGCCACATCAGAAGTACCAGCCCTCCTCAGCCCGAGCTGCCTTATTTTGGCCCGCTGCTCTGAAAAGTTTTGCGTCTCTGTCCTGAACTTTGGAGTGAAACACTATTTTCTGCATTATGATTTTTTTATGGGTACCCAGCCAGACATAGCTGCCACCACACACCCAACCCACCAGCAGAAGAAAGGTGTTCCCCAAACAGACCAGATATGTTTACCGATGACAGAGAAAGACTAATTTCTAAAGCTTACACAAAAAACAGAGGAAGCCCTTCGAAGGCTGGCAAATGTCACCTCATTTTATCTTCTGGGGCTTTCAGGATTGCTGGTGCTTAATTCATTTATTCCACCGCAATTGCTTGTTGCAGTGAAATTGAGCAATTTTAAGTCATTACCTCCCCGTAACGGTGTGTTGAACATTCGGTTGCACGCACAGACAATGCTTTTCCACAGCCGCGCTCTTTAGAGCAGCTCTCAGAAAAAGCAACATCGGCATTTTTCAAGTCATCCTTTGGTGTGACCTTCTTAGCAGGCAGTGGGGGGTTTCTTTCCATGGACCAAGAGATAGAAACCTGCATGCTACGTCGGATCTGACTTGCCAAAAAAAGGTGGAGGTACGCCTCCAAGTTCATCCCCAAAATAGGCTCCACTCATGTGAATGCCCAGAATGAGGCTGGTTGGAGTAACTGGTGCAGACATCACGTGCATACTTTGAGATTCACTGGTCTCCTTGAGTGGGAATCATAGATGCATAGCATCATTCAGGTTGGAAGGGACCTCAGGAGGTCACATCTAGTCCAGTCCCCTGCTCAGTGCAGGACCAGCCCCAACTAGATCATCCCAGCCAAGGCTTTGTCTAGTCAGGTCTTAAAAACCTCCAAGTATGGAGAGTCCACCACCTCTCTGAAATCCCCATCAGTGAAGCCTGAACAGACCCCTGGACTTTGCTAGGGTTGTTGGACTTGCTTCTGCTTGGCTGGGGAAAAAGTGATGGTAATTCCCAACCACCAGCCACTGGCAACCTCCGACAGGATGTGCATAGTGATCTTCCTTCTCCTGCCCCTCAAGACACAAAACAGCTAGTGATGTCATGACCATTATGGCCCTATTCATAAGCGCACAACATGATACCTTCAGCTATGCAGCCCACACCTCAACTATTCAGCTAATGCAGCAGTTTCAATAGTAGGCTGTTATCCTCTACTGGACCAACCAGGAAGCAAAGCAAGGCTCTCGCGTGCTCTGTCACCCGGCTACACTCAGAGCTCCATCTGATTTCTCAAGGATGCTGGATCCGCTCTTAAATATG